ATTACTTATAAAATTGATTTATAAATTTTTTATTATGTTTTTACTATATAAAATCAGTATAGAAATTTATTAAAAAATTTTTTACTTTTTATAATTCAATGAAAAATTGTTTATTTTATATAAAAATTTATAAATAATTTCTTATAACTAAAAAAACAAAATTAATTAAGATTTTTATATAAAATAACTTAATAAATTTTTTAAAATTTATAGACCTGTGGATCAATAGTACAGTGGTTAGTGCTCCATAGGTCAGATCACAAGATACCAGTTTAACTCCTGGTGAAGGCAGCTGAATAGAATTAATATGATATCTGGCACCATAACCTGTAATGTGCTGTTTTTTATAAAAAGCCATTTCACATACTGATCCAGTAGACATTGGGATTGTGATCTCTGAAAAGATGTAGTAGCGTAACGGTCATCCAGTAGATGCATAATGATCATCAAGATCGTTAACATGAAGTATTAAGCCCCTCAGAAATCATCGATGGACATTAACATATGATATCAGTGAACTATCAGTGCTATCTCTGTGCGTTCTGCTTGTTGAATAACTACTAGATTTGGCAGCTAATGCCAATTGAGAACCTGATGGATAAGTCTACTAGGAGATTTAGGAGTCACGTCCCTATTGATAAATAATTCCTAGGTTTGGTAACGTGTGCTAACCATTGGATGAAATTCTCAAAGCATTGACTAGACAGTACACAGATGCACTAAGATTCATTCATAGCTGCATGGCCAAAGGTGTGATTAAGAGATGGTAAGGTATAGAAGGTTAGCGTGGGATCTAGATAAGAGGTAAATGTCAGGGTTTAGATTAGGTTAGGTAGTTTAAAACTAGTGATAGGATTTCCACCTCCTAAAGATTCAACTTGAAATGCGGACCCACCTTCTGGGTGTAAGTTGGTATATCTGGATAAGGCTAAGGTGAAGGGGATAGGTTAACTTAGATGGACCATTATAATCATGTAATTGATATAAAATACTCAATAAACATATGCTATTAGCACCTTTCACCCTCCCAAAAAATTTTTTATTTTTTAAAAAAGATTTTATAATCTTTTTTTTTATATGTAAAATTTTTTGTTTATAAATTTAAAATTAAAATTAATAAATAAATTATATAATAATTTTAATATTTTTTTTTACATTTTTTTATATTTATGCTTTAAAAAATATATTATAAAGTTTTAAATAATTTGAATAATTTTTTATTAATTTATAAATAAAAATATGCATTTTAAAAAATTTCAAAAAGTTTTGTTACATACTGTATATAATTTGAAACTTAATAAAGTTAGGCATGAGCCCATTAAAAAAAAAAAAAAAAAAAAAAAATCAAATAATTTTAACAAACTATAAGCAAAATCACATAAAAAATATTTTATGTTAATGACTAAAATATTATTAACTTAATAAAGTTTCAAGAAAATAAAAAAAAAAAAAAAAAATCAAATAATTTTAATAAACTATAGACAAAATCAAGTAAAAAAAATTTTATATAAGGACTAAAATATTATTAACTTAATAAAGTTTCAAGAAAATTAATGATTTTAAATATATATTAAAAAAGTATACATAACAAATTTTATAATTTTTATAAATATTTATTAAGTAAATTGATATTTTTCTATTAATAAAAAACATTCATTTTGTGATTTAAAATAGAGTTTTATAGAATATCTTTATATATTTTTCCAATAATTTATTGATATAAATGTTTAGTATGTTAAAAAACTTTAAAATTTTTAATGTTTTATAATGTAAAGCTTACAGGATCTAGTAATTTATCCATACTCAGTTGCGGCTTTTAATTTTCAAAAAGCTTTTAGAATATAAATTTTATACAGTATAAAAATTTTCGTAATTAAAAATTTGATGTTTCTTGTACGACATTTACTTTTAGAAGTCATTTTTAGTTATTTTTATACAATGATAGTTAATGAACCAACTTTTTTGAAATACTAATATTAGTAATAATAGAACATAGTCACGAAAAAAAAAAACGAAACAACAATTTACTTCCAGTAATTTAAACACTTTAATGTAAATTTTTAACAATTAAAAATTAGGATCAATTTATTCATAGTAAGAAATTTAGTAATCTAGTATAACTTTTCAGGCTTTCCGAGGAAATTTTAACTGGTGCCGTTAGGATTGCTGCATAAATAGAGATGATCACAACGCAAAGCCCGTGCCAATAAGGAATGCTGGAATCATTCGACAAAGTAGACCTTATCAAATATAGATGAGTTTCATATTACTTCCAAGTCATCTGGATCCTCGTCGGTTGTTTGTCTATCACACCGGAATTCGAAATCTTCATCATATTCTCCACCGTCCACTGGGAACCATTGACAACATATATCATTGAAGGTATTGTCAGATATGGAAGTTAAGGCTGATGGGAAAGAGAAGCTCTGGAGGATTTTCAACGCGTATAATAGTAGCGCGATAATTAAGGAAAATATTGCAAACGCAAATCAAATGCGAAAAAAAAAACATGATAAAGTGTGGATATTTGGCTTATATATGGAGCCTTGCGAATAAATGTGGTCTTTGTCATACTGTTTAGAGTGGAAAAATTTTTTATCAGATCGCGATTTTGATGAAATGCGTCAGGAAATTCAACAATACCTTTCATAATAGAACCCTAATCGATTTCCGACAATTATTATATTTTCTAATTTCTTCCTATCCCAATTCGCACCGATCAAGTTATTATACAAGCCAAGAGGACAATGTGGCATGTAGAATAGAGTTTGATTGGTGATGGTTCGTTTTGCTTTCTTGAAATAATAAATAAGAAAGTGTGAAAGGAGATATAGAATTCGCAAACACCGCACCGAAGCGCGTGAATAATGAACGATACCTCATTCGTTTCGATCAATTCTATGTTGAAATGAGTCAATACTTCAATATCCACTTGTGTTAGAACAGGATCATACATGTAAATTTTACTTGTTATCTGTGAGATTGCGCCATCGTGTACACGTATTAAGATCGGGCACACGATCAAGAAGGAAGTTTTCAAATTTACCTGAAGCAAGTTCCCCAGAATCAACAATAGCGCAAATTGATACTGAGATCTATGCGACTTTTCGATGCTTCCTATTCCATAACACACGATATCAACAAGGATAGGACGGTTAGGGGGGAGAAGGTTGATCTTGATACTCTCTTGAAATCAAAATCGACCACAGTTAGGAGCATAATAGCTTTGTAATGCATAAAAGAAAGAAGAATTTACCTTTCAATTCTTGATAGAATGTACCATCCATTAATACCTGTCTGGTAATAAGTTGCTAATTTCACATTATTGAAATTCTTCGCTCGAGAGGGGGTAGTTGGTTGGTTTTTTGAGGTTGTAATTATTAAATCTCACAAACCTTTTCTCCTCGATAAAGGAAATAACTTCTTTGGGTGTATTCCCCTTATTCTTCTCAAACCTGAATTTTCCTTTGCGGCGCTTTTTTTCGTTATGTTTTATATTTTTATATTGGAAGCCATTTGCATTTTCGATACTCCGATTAGAATCGACGTTTAACTTATTCACGTTTTGCATTCTTAATGATTCTAAATAAATACAATATATATTGTATATATATATATATTATAAGAAATTGTGGTTACACGGGATGTGATGGAGAGTGTGCAGCTAAGACACATAGAGTGCAGCATACAGAATGTGAATTGTATTGTACTATATCAGCACACCAATTGCTTCAGTCCTAACCAGCACAGTACGTAATGCTTTTGGTAAAGTGAACTTCTGACCTGAGAAAAGATCGACGCCCGAATTAATATTATACGTCACGCGAATGTGACACCAATTTGTCATGGATAATTTGTTATGGTGCGGTTTTGTTCTCTCAGCTATCACCACTTTCTTTATACCTTCAAAAATTCACCTCGATATATATTTTTAGGGGAACCTGACTTCCATAAAATTTTATCATACAAATTTACGCTCATTGGGAACATTCGAAATATTTTGATGCTCCTTGGCATTCGAATTCTAGCTCGTAACTGTAAGCCAAGCCTCTTGGTGACGAAGTTTTAGCAGAAGAATGTCCGAAACGTCATCTTCTGTCCAAGTCTTAAAACCGACTTCTGGTGCGCTTTTTACTTGATTCACTAATTTCAGGGTCAGCTGCTTAATTTAAGATCGCCCAGATCATTTAACACTGTTTCTTCGCACGATCCCTAGCTCTTAAAGAATTAAACTATAATATAATGTCCGCACCAGTGGGAATATTGCGTAACACTAATCACGAGCAACAGGTATCAAAATTGGTCATTTATTTTTCGGACAATTGGTGACTTGACGTATTTTGATCCCTCAAAACACCTAAGAACGCACTGATTTTTAGAAAAAACCCTCGGCGAACGCTCTTTCCGACTCCTCCGAATCTGATATTGAGGGTGCTAACCAAGGTGACTATTTACAAGGAGACGAAACTGAACCCGAAGGAGGTTTGAATCCGGAAGAAGCTCGAGAAACTTTAAAGCATGAGAATATAATAAAATGTGGATATCTCGAAAAGAAACAAGAGATACGAAATGTGCGGGTCAAATTTTTTGTGCAATCAAAACGGTGTGTTTGTTTATTCTGATGCCGTTGTTTTCTTTTCTTTTAGAATTGGAAACGGAGGTGGTTTGTGTTAAGACCTACAAAGCTAGCTTACTATAAAAGTGAAAAGGTATAAGCCACGACGGATTATTAAATGAAATCGGCGCATAACACATAATTAATTACCTGATTAAATAATTGTCATAGGAATACGAGCTTCTTCAAAATCTAGATTTGAATGACATTCGGGCAGTCGCTGAAGTAAAACTAAAAAATAAGACGGACGTCTTTGGTATCGTAACACCAAAACGTACATATTATGTTCATGCAGCTAGCAAAAAAGAACTCGATGAATGGGTGGACGCGATAAATAAAGTCAAGAAGGAGGTACAAGATAGTGACCTTTTAGATGTTGACGATGAGGGAAGTCAGGCCGATAGTGAGATTATGAACTCATATAAAGGCAAATCTCCAGCAAATAAATTACATTCCTTGAAACTTGAAACACCGTTGTCGTCGGGACAGGCTGTAGATGAAGCAATGTCCAGATCACCGGAATCTCCGGGCATCGAAATTCCGAGGTCACCGCCATTTCAATCGTCGGAACAGGGCGAAGGTGCTGCGGGTCCCATTCCTAACGGCCTGTCATCACCCTCAAGCCCAGTGACGGGTCAATTCGCACCGGATAGGAAAGACAGCAGTTCCGAGGAATATGAGGCTGAAATGGGCGAGGAAGAAGAGAACGATGATACAATCCGTAGTGGATATGTGTACAAACTTGATAGATACAAGGTAGGTGTTTGTTCATTGTACGCTCCGTCATTCCTTTGCGTCTTGAACTAATTCATGCGTCAACAGAAAACCTGGAAGAAAAGATGGTTTGTGCTAAAGAGCAATAAATTATCATATTATAAAGATCATGAGGTAAAGCGTTACACGTTTGCTGACTCGGCGAAGTTTAGTCGGTTTTTTCGACTGCTTGTTATTCAACATTATTTTCACTGTGATGGCAGGGTAAGCGTGCACACAAGAACATTAATCTTTCGGACATCCTTGACGCTATCGAAATCGATGATATATCCAAATCAAAACAACATTGTTTTAAAATCATCACTCCTAAACGAAATTACATCTGCCGTGCCTCGAGTGAAGAATTGCAAGTTGCTTGGTTGGCTGCTTTGCAAATGGCTCTGAACAAGACAAAGGAAAAACGAAAAGAATAATTAAAGATGAGCCGTTGTCTGACTTCAGGGTCCATTTTGATAACAATACCTCGTATTATTCTTTCAAGGTGGAAGATGAGGAAAAAAAACCATATATAGCATAATTCTATTATTGAACGATGATTATTGCACTTTTATTAATCTGAGGGGTGAACCATTGCAATTGTATTTTTTCTTTTTCTTGTTTTTTTTTTTTATACCGAATTAGTAATCATAATGGTGCCTGTTTTAACGCAAAATTTACCTTCTCGTAATAATTATTCTATTTCGTTTCATTTTTTTCTTTTCTTTTTTTTTTTTTTCGAAAAGAAGCTAATTATTATTACTAATTTATTGTTACACGAGTAATTTATTATTATTAATTAGAATCACTCCCCTCTTCATTTTGCTTTATTTGATCGGCGCGCACGACTCGACTTAATCAAGGCATTAATTTTTTTTTTTTGGTATATCCCAATACCCCCAAGTCATGATTCGTTTTACCACATTATTTTGTATGGGAATTTTTATATTAAAAGAAAAAGCAACTAATCAAATAAATATTCTCTTTTGCGACTTGTTCTTGAGAAACGCACAATATTTGCGAAATGTCCATTGCGAATGTTGGATGGGATGAAGTAAGTCACCCGGCAAATATTAAGAACACCACACCATTGGAAAGATTTGCAGAAAATTTGATTTATTTTAATACAGGAGGCTTGCTATACCAATTGAAAATTTTTTCGACGAACTTTCTTTTTAAGAAACTTATGAAGTAACGAAAAGGATGGAATGTTCGAATTCCGGAAAAATTATGACGAAAAATCTATACATAGAAATGCTTGTTAAAATGGGGAGAGAAGATGGTGATTTTTTTTTTTATTTTTTTTCCCTTTCTCTTTTTTTTTGTATTTTAATTGAAACGATGGTGTCTGAGGTTAACGAAGCGTAATTTACTTGATGTTTAACGAAAAGCGAAAAATTTTTTTTTTTAAGAAAAAAGAATTAAATTTATGTTTCGCTTAAAAAAAAAAGGAAAAGAAAAAATAAAATAAAATAAAATAAAAAAAGAATAAAATAAAAAAAAAAGGAGAAAAAAGAAACATATATATATATATTATACAAGTTAACGAACCAAGTTCTTGATATGACGGAGCAAGAGAGATGTGACACTTTTATCCGAGATTATGGTCATAGTGAATATTTATTATTTCGTTAACTAGCAAAGGTCATATGAGTACTTTTGAAGTATATGTAAAGAAGGTGAAATTACTAGAGTGTCTAAAAAAAAAAAAAAAAAAAAAAAAAGAAGGAAACGAAATTTAAAAATATATATAATGGTTCAAACATCGAACGGAAACGACGATAACGATAGTGTGTGAACAAGGAATAATAGAAATATGTCCAAATGGTCATCATAAACACTTTACTCCAACGCGCGACGCACTTCCGTTGAGAACCATCATGGAATCTCCGTCATGTTCAGCCCCGACCATTCCATGATCAACTCCGTTATGATGGTGATTCATCATTTCTTGATCGTCGTCGTTTGGAATCTTCATTCCAGGAACGAGACCATTATTATTGTTGGTTTCACTGTTGATGGAATGTTGCGGTTGTTGTATTTGCATACCATTTCTAAATACATTGTTCGTTTGATTTACCGATGAAACAGTGTTTCCACCTGAAATCATCTGTTGCTGTGTTGCCATTGGTTGATTCTCTGCACCTGTGGAAACGAAGTACATTTGTGGTGGTGGTGGCGGTGGCATAACGTGAGTCTGTGGTGGTGGGTGACTAGGCCCTATCGGGATGCCCATACCATTGATGCTGTTCATCCCGTTCATCCCGTTCATCCCATTCATCGAGTTGTGCATCATTCCATACGTCGTGCCAATTGGCATTGGTCCGACTCGCTGATGTCCGAAACCCATCGTTGGACCGAATCCGCCGTGGTGGAATCTCTTCCCTTGTCTCATCTCCATCTCAACACGCATCTCTAAAAGGCCTGCACGCTCCTTTAGGTTCTTATTCCTCCTTTCTAAATATTTGATATAATCTACCGCTTTAAATAAAATTGTGCTTTTTGAATTATTCACATTCTTAAGCGTTGGTATAATGTCTGTTAACTCTTTAAAACCTGCTCGAATTGTATTCCTTCGTTTTTGTTCAGATGCGATGTGATTCGCTCGTTTCTCCTCTTCCGTGAGAAGTTCTTTATACGGTTTCCTACTTGACTTCTGAGGTGTGGGCTTTGACTCGGATTTAATTTCCGTGAAATCGTCCGTTGTGTTATCATTATCATTTGAAGAAGTCTCTGTTAAATTACCTAAAGGCCCCGACTCCTCTTCGTTCTTTGTCAACTCCCGATTTGGAGTTCGGGGTGATGGGGATCCATTAGCACTACTGCTGGGTGTATTACCCGAGCTCTCATCATTGTCATTATCGTTTTCGTTGTCGTTATCAAGGTAGTTATTGCTGACGCTACTACTACTGTTAATGGACAGATTTGATAATTGCATGGGCGGTGAAATTGGTCGAGGACTTGATGTTGAATCATTATTGTTATTGGTTTGGGTCATACTGAGCTTCGTGTTGATCGGACTTATTCTATGGGAGGACGACCGGCGCCTGGATTTATCGTCTTCATCTGTTTGCTTACGCTTTGCCGGAACGGATTGTATCGCTGATCCATCTTTCTCCTCGGAATTTGATGACAGCTGTGTCGATGACGAGACCAATTCGCGATGAATTTGGTTAGGTGAAGATGTCAATACTGTACCTGACGTACATTGACCCACTGTGACCGAGCGCATGGGGTTGAGTAGTCCATTTACACTGTTATCCGTGGGCGACGGGAACATCGGCATGTTTGGAGGCAGTGACGGACTGAAAAGGTAATTTGGGTTCGCCTGAAGATTATCTAGAAAGGCACCAAAGATGAACTGTTGATCCTCAGGATCTAAGATTGATGACGAGTTAAAGTCTTCTTGGGGGGATGACAAGATGGTTGCATATTCCGCCGGAACACCCCAGCTATATTCTTTGAACTCTATGTAATGGATGTATATATACATGTACATATGTTTATGTAGGCATGTATGTTATGTATCAGTAAGCATGCGGCAATAATCAAATGATAATTTTCTTGCGAGAAATTCTCTTGGAATAAATAATTCCTTTCGTTTTTTCTATGAACAAAAAAATACGTACGTTCATAAGGCGGAGGTTCTGGAATGGCGAAACTTTGAGAGTTCATTACAAATTGATCCTGAGGAGGGTATCCGTTGTCAGACATATGTGCATATCCTTGTGACTGTGACGACAATTCTGGTTGTACAAAACTTGAGGACAAGAGTTGTGGCGGTTCTTTATTGCTCATTGGCATGTTTCCATTCGAGTAATAGGGAGGCACAGAGTCCATGTTTATTCACTAGGTGAAAGAAGGAATGACGAACCTTTCAAAGGGCGAGGCCTTTAATACAAATAATTAATGGGTCACTAGAACAAAGAACTTTTTTAACTGCTCTATAGTCCCTTACGTCGATGTGCTTTATTTCAAAATTGGGGAGAACGAAACGAGGGAAGGTCAATAAAATTGAATTTAAACAGCGAGAAGGTTATTTCGTCGAGAAATACACACGATTTGAGTCGGCTAAAAGGGGGAGTTTTAGAATCCACTGTGATACCGATACTGTAGTGGGAACAACGGAGAGTTTCGGGGATATAAAATCTACAATAACTGATCATAAGATATTGGGTAGAGTGTGCACAAGCAGCTGATATGTGATACTTTATCTGATTAGGTTGTATATACACATTTATGCGCTATACTAACTATTATATTATGTATTCTGAATTGATGTTAATAATGACACCGACTATACCGGCTACTTATTAATAATAGCAAACCGTTAAATGATGTATGGGCTATATAGTATAAAGTCGTTATTTTAAAAAAAGGTGATACGTAATAAGGATATTTGGGGAAGTTACTCTTTCATATGCTTTCGACACCGAATTTGGTAAATGGGACTGTCTTACAAATCCCCGCAATTCCTTTTCCCTGCTGGTTTTTCGTCAATCTATGGAAAAGCCACCGAGTACGTATTTGCTATATCGTTTATTTTTGGGGAATTTTGATTATTACGTGGAATCAATATGTTCTTGTATAATCCATTCATGGCTTTACTTATCATCATATGCCCAAGGCACATCCATGCAAGGGATCTTTTAACTACGGGCCAAAATCTGGTTCAAAAAAAAAAAAAATTTTTTTTTCAGCCGGAATTACGTTCTGGCCCCAAACCAAGTGCTTTTGCGAAATGATGACAAAGCAATAGCAAATATGGACGATTTAATTAATGTTTTCTGGTTCCAATTACATCATAATCATATACACAAACATTAAATAATTATGCATAGCCTGTACAAGATCTTTATTTTTTCTTTCATTAAAAAAAAAAATCAGATAATATAATAATGATAATATTGTTGCTATTCATTTTATTCATTATACACATCAATTAAAAAATCAAGATTTAAGAATGTTTGCAAGCTGCAATATACTGTGCATTTGAAAAATTTTAATCAATCTTTTACAAATTCTAGACTCTTTTTTTTTAGTTTAAAAAACCAATTTATTGAAAAAATAACAATAAATTTAAACCGCTTGAAATAAATAATAAATATCTTATTAAGTTAAAATATACTGCATATTGCCTATATGTTTTTTTTGCTAGTTGTTTTTTAAAACAATATTTATTAAAAATATTTCACATTAATTAATAAAATTATAAAATTATTTTATTTGTAAAATATTATATTTAAATTTATTTTTTCAAAAATTTTATTATTGAATTTTAAATTAAATAATTGATAAAATATTTAATATAATAAAAAATATTAAATAAAATATATAATCAAAAAAAAAAAATTTTTTTTTAACAAAATAAATAATTTTATATTAAATAATCTATTAATTATTAACAAAAATTTTACAAGTTAAAAAAAATATAATATTGTTTTTTTATATCAAACTTAAAAATATACTTAGAAAACTTTTTAAATTTTTAAATAATCAAATTTATAACTATATTAATATTGAGTTAATTGATTTGTAAAAAATGTCTAATACTATATATTGATTTTTAATTTTTAGTTAATAAAGATAATATATTATTTTAATTTGATTGTAAATTAAAAGAATAATAATAATAAATAAAAATTTTTTAAATTATAAATAAGTATTAAATATATAATTTTATTAAATAAAAAATTAATTAATAATAATCTTTTTTTTTTTTTTTTAACTCTAGATCAGGCTAGGTACGTATGTTTTATTAAACATTTGTATACTGTACATTTTAAATAATTTGCTAAAACTAAAACTTTATCTAACTTACTTGTTACTGTTTTGACTTAATATATCAAAACTCTAGGTGCAATTTTGGAAGTAATTTATCGTTCCATTAATAGTTTAGGTGAATATCCTTCTAACCTTTAATATCATTGCCTGCAGATCACCACTGTAGATCACTATCTGTTGTTCTGATCTGGCTTAAAACCCAACCACTTCATTTCATAAGTAACACCTTTAAGTAGAATTTCTTTTAGGCTTTCATTTTTTTGAGTTTCTTTCTCTAATAGAAAATCTTTACTTTTGGGAATTGATGGTTTTAAGCTATATGTACCTGAGGGTCAGTTGATTTTTTCTACTCTACAGATCCCTTATGAATATTTCCATTCAATTATCTTCTCACATCTTTTGGTTCAAATTTTTTTCCTTATTTGGTTACATACTCTTCTTTGCATCTTTGATATCTATCTTCTTGCATTTTTACCAATTCTTTTTTCATGGCATTTCGGATCTGCCATTTTTAAGATTAAGTCTCTTCTTACTAGTCTTATGCAAAAACTTAGAGTATCTTGACTGGTTTTTGAGGTCTGTTCTATCAGTTTGAAGATCTATTTATTCACCTCAGTCATTTCTTCTTCGTCATGAATAGTCAACCTTGCATGTTTTTCTTCTGCCTCTTTTTTCCTCACTTGTAAGAGTTCTCTAAAGTCTCTAAGAATCCTATTTTATCCTTTATTCTATGCTTCTTGTAATTGTTTTTTGTATGCTGGACACTCTAGTAAATGTTCAAAAGTTTCACTTTGCTGACTACATATGATACACTTCACTTGTTTGTAAAGATTAGGCCTTCTCATTGCCAGTTTGTTCAGAGTTGGTAGCTCATCATTCATTAGTTTTATGAGGAAGCTTTTTTGCTATAATTGTTTAAAGGAAGTGTCCCAGGTATGTCTTTTTTCATTCTTTCCTATACAAGATCCCAAGTATGATCTTACTGTTCTATAATTTGGTAGCTTCATCTTTTTTTGGATTAATTAATAATAATCTATTATAAGTTAATATATATATATATATATATACAATATATATATATTTTGACTGATTTTTAGGCACGCACAGCTTAAAACTATTAGTCCCCAAAAGTAAAGATTCTCTACCAAAGGAAGGAACTCAAGAAAATGAAAGCCTGAAAGAAATTCTACTCAAAGGTGCTACTTATGGAATGAAATGGTTAGGTTTTAAGCTTGGTCAGAACAACAAATAGTGATCTGCAGTAGTGATCTGTGGGCAATAATATTAAAGGTTGGAAAGGTATTCACCTGAACCATTAACGGAACGATAAATCATTCCTGAAGTTGCACTTAGAGTTTTGGTATATTAAAACAAAATGGTGACGAGTGAGTTAAATAAAGTCTTAGCTTTAGCGAATCATTTAAAATGTACAGTATACAAATGTTTAATAAAGCACACATACCTAGCCTGAC